ACAAATGCAAGGGAATAGAAATATAGTGTGCAAACCAAATTTTTAGGATGAAAGTATCTTCAAACTATGAAATAAAACGAATTAAAATGTCAACAAACAAAACATTGGAGAATTAATTAAACTGTTGTTATGGATCTCATTTCCTCACACTATTGCATACAAAGTAGGTAAGAGTTTGCTCAAGTGGTAAACAGTTTGATGTCGCTTAAGCAAGGTCTCGGATCGACCAACGGATTAGTCGGGCATAGCTCCAACTAAAAAAAAGTAGGTACAAATAAAAAGAGAATAAATGACGTAAAAAATAAAAAATAAAAAAACAAAAAAATTGTCGATTCCTCTCTAAACTCTCGATTTTGCTCCAAACTTTCACTTTCTTCTGAGCGATCTCCAAAACCCACCACCACTTTGCTTTGACTAGAACGAGCTCGTGCTCCTAACCCTAATTTTTACCGAAATCTTGGGTTTTTCTTGCCCCTGATTCATGAAAACCTGGAGTTTGCTGCTTCTAATTTTCCTTGTTTTCACTTTGTCGTGTTTGAGTTTCGGTTATGGCGTTTCCCAATCGGAGGAGCCCAAAAAGAACAAGTTTCGCGATCGCGAGGCCACTGACGATGCCCTAGGTTACCCCAATTTGTGAGTTTATGACTATTGTGCATTACTGATTGGATCAGTAAAGTATTGAGCTTTTTTCGTTATCTTTTCCTGATTGAATTGCTATCTGTTTAATTGATAATCGTGTGTCAGTCAGTGTTTGATATGGGGCAGCTGCATGTAAGCATTTCTGGTGATTGTGATTTGAAGTTTACAATTTTAGTGATGCATTATGGTTGATGATTTTGTGTGTCCCAGTGATGTGGATGAGCTGTTGAACACGCAATGCCTTAAGCATTTTCGGCATCACTGATTGGATTTGTAAAGTCTTGAACTTTTTTCGTTAGTTTTTCCTAATTGAATTGCTATCTGTAAGAGGGTTCCTTTTTTTTTTTGGTTAATTGATAACAGTGTATCAATCAGTTGCTGATAGGGTAGTTGCATATAAGCATTTTTGGTGAATGTGATTTTAACTTTATAATTTTAGTGATGCAATATGCTTGATGGTTTTGTGTGCCTAGTGATGAAGATGAACTGTTGAATACGCAATGCCCTCGGCACTTGGAACTGAGGTGGCAGACTGAAGTGAGTTCTAGTGTATATGCTTCACCTTTGATTGCCGACATTAACAGGTGATGTGAAGGGATTCACCTAACTCATGTTGCATTTTCACAATTCTCATATTCAAATTCTGTATTATTAGTTATTCCAGATTTGGTTGCTTATTTATAGGCGCAAAGGAAGATGATCTTTATAACTTCTCTTTTTTATTTTTTATTTTTTATTTTTCTATCTGTTGAGGTGCGGTTGGATTTTAGAAGCACTACACTTTTGTAGTTCTGCAAGTTTTTTTGATATATGTTTTTCTGCCTATGTTCTCTTTGAGTCGATTGTAGGTCTTGAAATATTTTCTTATTTTTTACCTTAGTGATGGAAAGCGTGAAGTTGTTGTTCCTTCGTTTGTGCATTACTTGGAAGTTCTTGAAGGCTCTGACGGGGATAAACTGCCAGGTATTGTTTATTCGAGGCCAGGGTTCTACATCTGTGACTATGCATTGGGATTGGTTTCTATATCTGTTTGTAATAATCATCTTCTATATCCAAAAATATCATAAGATAGATAAAGAAGTAAGTGTTTCCAGTAATTTGCTGAGCGTTTATTTATCTTTTATTTGGAGGACATTTTTATTACCGCAAAGTACTTAATAATCACTACTACAAATATATTTTTTTTCATATATGTCTAGCTACAACCCTGTTGGGTGTATTATAATTTTAATAAGCATTTGTAGTGCATATTATCTCCAGCTAATTGTTAAACTATTGTGATATCTTCTGAAAAAAAAGAAAAGAAAAAAAAATCCAGATTCATCCCATCTTTTACAAAGTATCCAATCCCATTACGAAAAAATGTGATCTTGAATTGAAACATTGCTAGGAATAAATATACGGAAATGTGATCTCGAAATATTTGTTCTGTAATTTATCAGGATGGCCTGCTTTTCATCAGTCAACTGTTCACTCCAGCCCTCTTCTATATGATATTGACAAGGACGGTGTGAGAGAAATTGCTATAGCCACTTACAATGGAGAAGTGCTATTTTTCAGGTAACAATCCCTTAAATGCTTCATTTTCCGTGTGGAAATATACATGTCCTGAGCACTCTCTTTTCCTTAAATAGGGTTTCAGGCTATGCTATGTCAGATAAACTGGTGATTCCGAGGTTGAAAGTTAAAAAGGATTGGCATGTTGGCTTGCACACGGATCCTGCTGATCGTTCTCATCCAGATGTTCATGATGACCAATTAATCCAGGAGGCTCTTTTGGACTCATTAGCTCGTAATTTATCTTTTCCCTGCTGAATATTTACTAATTATTTCTTTACCGCAAAGTATTATGTGAAAGTGTATAAGATTGTGTGTTAAACTTACATTATTACCTTACTGCTGCAGCTAGGGTATAATTATCTGTTTTGCAGATTTTAAGCGATTGATAACATACATAGAGTTCTTCTATATTGTAATTAATTGAATAAATGATCCTAATAAAGTTCCATCTATCAGGAATTTTCTTCACTTTCAACTATTACTGTATCATATTCTCTGAAGTTCTGTTGGGTTTATACTCTATTTAGCATAAGGCAATATACAAATGTTGTTATCTGTGTATATGTTCCTATGACCATTGATCTGCAATCATGTTAATTTTTCTACTAATTTTTTGGGAGTATATTTTAACTCTAAAATGTCTTGTTAAAATTCCAGAGCCCAATGGGAGCACATCTAAAGAAAATATTACAAGCTCGACAGCAAGTCAAAATGAAACATCCAATACCACCCCAGAACATAACACCATGAATAGCACGATTTCGATTTCTGCTGATATTCAACATAACAATCAGCTCAATGCATCTCAAGAAGTTACCCAAGGGAAAATGAACGAGAGTCTAGCAGATCCGGGCATTAAGATGCCATTAAATACAAGCAATTCTTCTTCTGGGTCTGAGGAAGTTAGCCACGTGGGCAGTGGAAATACAGCGAGAAGAAAGCTTCTAGAAGAAAGCAACTCAAAAGTCAACGAGGATGTCCACACCGCAACAGTAGAAAACGAGGGTGGTCTAGAAGCAGACGCTGAGTCATCATTCGACTTGCTCCGAGACAACAATGATGATCTGGCGAATGATGATTATAACTATGATTATGATGACTATGTTGATGATGAATCCATGTGGGGGGACGAGGAGTGGACTGAAGAGCAGCATGAGAAAGTGGAAGATTATGTTCATATAGATGCACACGTCTTGTGCACTCCAGTAAGTATTGTTATGAACGGAATTATATTGCCTGATTATGGTTAATTGGAACTAAAGATTTAAATTTCTGTGTTGAATTAAATTAACTTCAGGTAATAGCAGACATTGATAAAGATGGAGTCTTTGAGATGATCGTTGCTGTTTCTTACTTCTTTGATCGCGAGTAAGTTTATTCTACTAGCAATTAATTACATTTTCACCGCCCTTTTCACAACAGATAGAAGCATCAACATCATCATCATCAACATCAACATACCCAGTATATTCCCAAACAGATAGAAGCATCGTGCTAAATATTTAGGGTGTGCTAAAAAAGTAATTGGGTTAAAAATGATTGAAAAAAATGTGTTTGTATTTCTATTTTCTAGTGGTTTTCAGATACTGCAGCTGATCAGTTTGTAGTTTGGCAGGTATTACGACAATCCAGAGCATATGAAAGAACTCGGTGGTATCGATATTGGAAAATATGTTGCTGGGGGTATTGTTGTCTTTAACCTCGACACAAAGCAAGTGAAGTGGAGTGTTCAGCTGGACTTGAGTACTGATAATTCGGATTTCCGTGCATATATATACTCTTCTCCTACCGTTGTTGATTTGGACGGTGATGGAAATTTGGACATTCTTGTCGGCACTTCCTTTGGCTTGTTTTACGTTTTGGACCACATAGGTGTGTTATTCGTAATAAAATTTTACGAGCTTATGTGCGTACGTATATGTGAATATTTGCTCAGAATTAGCAATATGTTGTGTCTAAACTAAATTGCGACAGTGTATGAGAGTTCTTCTACTTCCATTTCTTCTTGTCCCTATTTCAAAAGCCTACTCTTTTTCTCTTCCGTTGTTTGCTAAGAAATTTATTGCATTAAATTACTGGTTCAGGTAAAATTCGAGAGAAATTTCCTCTTGAGATGGCTGAAATCCAAGGAGCAGTAGTTGCAGCTGATATAAACGATGACGGTAAAATCGAATTAGTGACTACTGATTCGCATGGTAATGTTGCTGCGTGGACCCCACAAGGAAAAGAAATTTGGGAAACACATGTAAAGAGTCTTGTTCCTCAGGTAATAATAAATAATAATTTTTTTGCATACTCGACAAATTTTAATATTATGCAAGTGTTTGTAAAATTTTTCCGATTTACCCCTCAGGGTCCTGGCATTGGGGATGTCGATGGTGACGGCCACACTGACGTTGTCGTTCCAACTGTGTCGGGAAATATATACGTACTTAGTGGCAAGGATGGGTCGATCGTGCGGCCCTATCCATATAGAACTCACGGTAGAGTAATGAATCAAGTTCTTTTAGTTGACTTGAAAAAACGTGGGGAGAAGCAAAAGGGACTCACCATAGTCACTACATCGTTCGACGGGTATTTGTACCTCATAGATGGGCCCACTTCTTGTGCTGATGTCGTGGACATTGGAGAAACATCGTAAGATAATTTAAGTTACCACATTTTTTTTGGTTTGGTTTTAGTTATTAGTCATTACATTAATTAAGGTTATGTTTGGTAAACCTAGTTGTTTAAGTGAATTTTGTTCTAGTTTATAGCTGATAGATTTTGACTTATGGCTAAAAAGCTAGCTTATA